GAAAATGTGAAAAGTGGAATGTTTAAGTATGAGTTATATATAAGTAAAAGAGATTATGGTGTAGAAATGCTAGTTGTGAATGTTATGTTGCTAGTAATAAGTTGGGTGATGCATGTTCTACGTCTGGTTTAATGTGGTTGATTGCCTATTGTTTCCAAGTATTAGAGTTGTTGTAGATAGCAATCTCATTGAGTAATTTCTTCCCGGAATTACTTACCTCTCTTTTTTCCCTTTTAGTTTGTGCAGGTATGTTGTTTGTTGAGCAAGTTAAGGCACGAGACCTAGGACTCAAAGTGATCAAGGATCGGGTGTCACATAAAATTTGTGTTTGTTCCACAAGAGACCAATATGTTGGCTGATTCGTTAGCTCAAAGAGCGTTTAATACTCTCAATTTGTCGACCGTTTCGACTTAATAAAATTCAAGTTTGTGAACAAAAAAAAGAGATAATTATCTCATTATCTTTCTTTAAATTAATCTTATTAGTTTCACTAATCTGACTCCACAACTTGGTAAGGAAGCAAAACCGAGGATGAATAATCCTTGCTGCTCTTTCTCAAAAAAAAAAAAAAATTCCTTGCTGCACAATCTTACGTCTTCATTATATATAAATGTACAGAACCAACCAACATCTTTTAACCTCAAGTCTCTTTCTCCAAGGAAAAAAAATACACAAGAAACCTAAGATAAAATCTTCGTAACTTCTTCTCCAACATGAAGCATCTCATGAAATTTCTTGTCCAACTAACACGGTCTCTCAATACTTATTCGTGCGTTCGCCATCCCGGGAACTTAATATCTCCTCTCCGGAGCACCAACCCTTTGCAGCTTCGGATCGCTACGGCTTTGGATCAGAAGAAACCAATTGTTCAAGTTCTTGAGCAATGGCAAGAACAAGGGAATCAAGTGAAGCCTTCAGACCTCAGATGCATGATCAAGAAGCTCCAAGATTCCGATCGCTTTTACCATGCCCTCCAGGTTTCCAATTGATTTCATGTGATTTGAGACAATTCATCAAACCCTTGTTTTCTATTATTATTATCCACCGTATTGATGTCATATTATTATCTCCGTTTGCTGCTTTTAGACATCAGAATGGATGAGTTCACAACAGGTTTATCATCTGTTTCCGGAAGATATCACTTCTCGTCTCCAGTTGATGGAGACAGTTTTGGGTCTGAAAGAAGCAGAGAATTTCTTCGAAATCATTCCCGAGATGTTAAAGGACTACAGTGTCTACAACACTCTATTAAGCTTCTACACAAGATCTGAGGAAACTCTGCAAAAAGCAGAAGCCACTTTCGAGAAGATGAGGGAGCTTGGATTCCTCTTGAAACCTTCCCCATACAATCTAATGCTATCTCTCTACAGTCCGCTAAGAAACCAAGATATGGTCAATCAACTTCTGATCGAGATGGAGGAGAATAATGTCGAACCCCGATAATGTAACAGCCAATTATGCACTGTCGCTGTATGCAGCTGTATCCGACGTTAAGGGAATGGAGAAGTTTCTAATTAGGAATCCCGGAATCAGACTTGAGTGGGGAACATGCACCGACATGGCAAAGGCTTACCTGAAAACAGGTTCAACGGAAAAGGCATTAGCTATGCTCCATAGAACAGAGCAATTGGTAGATGCTGCATCGAGGAAATCAGCTTATGAGGCTCTCATGATTCTCTACGGTGAAGTGAGAGAGAGAGAGGAAGTGTTTCGGATTTGGGAGCTTCACAAGAACACGGATCAGAGCAATGATGGATATCGCTGTGTGTTAAGTTCCCTCTTGACTCTAGGAGACACTGCGGGTGCAGAAGTGATATATAGAGAGTGGGAGCTTGGATGTCTTCCGTTCGATGCTCGCATCCCTAATACTCTGGTTTCTGGATACAACGACATGGGAATGGAGAGAAGACTGAGAAACTAATGAACATCGATGATGAGTTCTGTTTATTAGCAAATCCATAATAGAGGTCTAGCATTTTAGCCATAAACTCTGTGCAATGGTGCGAGTATGAATCAAATTCTCATGTCAAGCATTCATAATTAGGGAACCTGTCATTTTTTTTCAAATTATTCCAACTGTTCTAGAAACTATGTAACAATAGTTGAAGTTGTTTCAAGAAAGATTTTATTGTTTGCTTACAGAACGAGCTACGGATCTTTGGATGAGACAATTGAGACTCTTGTCACAGTTTTGAGAAACGAGGTTGTCTCTTCTTCAACTGAGCAGAGACGGCCTCGTTGAGATCGTCTGAGATAAGCATCGCTGAGTTCCAAGTCGCTACGTAGTCAAGGCCTTGTTCTACGGTCAGCTCTCTGCTTCTTAATAACACAGCCTTTGTCCCTGTCACAGCTAGAGGAGACTTAGCTGCTACACCTGAAACATGACAACTCCAATTCTCACTCTCAAATCCAGAATCAAAATGAAACCATTCAAGCACAAATCATCAGAATTAGCAACCATTTCGACGAAAATCAGCAACTAATTCGACGAAAACTGAAACAAATTAGCCAGATTAAGCAACCAATTGGACGAAAAATGAAACTAATTAGCACCCAATTGGACTAAAAATGAATCAAAATATCCAGATTAAGCAGCTAATTGGACGAAATTACCCTCGGCGATTGTGTTGACGCCTTTATCCAGCTCCGAGTTAGATCCGAAAACGCGAGAAACCAAACCCAGATCTTTAGCTTCACGTGCTGAGAATCTCCGAGCAGTTAACGCCAATTCCATGGCGTTTGCGTGACCGACGATGCTCGGTAATCGCTGGAGTGTACCTAGATCAGCGACAATCGCTAGATCCACCTCCTTGATCGCGAAGAAAGCATCCTCCGAGCAATACCTCATGTCACAAGCGGTGACGAGATCAACAGCGCCTCCAATACACGCGCCGTGTATAGCTGCGATAACAGGTTTCCGGCACTGTTCGATGGCCGTGATCGCTGCTTGCATCGACTTGATCGTCCGGCGTAGGCGTTCGCTCGAGCGTCCTCTGTCACCAGACGCGGATCGTTCGGAGATAGAAGAAAGGGAACTGAGGTCGATGCCGGAGCAGAAGTGTTTGCCGGCGCCGGAAAGGACGATGACTGCGACATCTTGATTTTGGTCGAGAGACGAAAGAGCTATTGGGAATTCGACGAAGAAATCAAGGGATAAAGCGTTGAATTGTGATGGTCTGTTGAGATTGAGGTGAAATACGGAGGAGTCAGTGTTCTTGCGAACGATTTCTAGAGTTTTGTAAGACTCCATTAGATTCGACTTGAAAT